AAACATCCTTCTAGTGTCAAACAACTCTGCACATACATCATTCTGCACAGTGAAGCTCAGGAACAAGAAGAAACACATATTTTTGAATGGATAGGGACCTTAACATTAACTCAAAATGACAGGACAAAACAAGAAGCATAACACATAAAACAATAGATACAGTCAGTAATATTTCTTTTTATATATTTGTGACAAATTTGCTTTCAGCTGAGACTAATTTGGATGCCAAACATCCTCTCAAAGTCAGACCAGTGGTACTTATTCTTTATGAATAAAGCAGCTTCATGTTGTGCCAGTGACACGGATAAGATCCCTGACTAGTACATTTTGTTCTCTCAGATGAGGTTTGTTCATAATTGAGCATAAACTCTCACAAAAACCACAGAGATACACATTTAACCCGAGTGGTTGTGTACTTTACACAGCGTTTAGGTCTTCGTTACTATCATGATAAATAAAGCTTCTCAGCGCTGCTGTGTTCAACTGTAAGTCTGAGCACCGAGGACACAATCAACTGTAGTGCCACAGTGAAGAATGACGTGAATCTAAACTTGACCTACTTTCAGCCAATGGGTGTTGTCAGACTGCAATTCTATCTTTGCAGGTCGCAGCACATGGAAACTCACGCTTTCTAGTGTAGTGGCTGAGTCACCGTTTAAAACCCTCGCTCTACTCTGCCCATTTGTTTGATTTTAATGATCAGTTAGTCTGTATTATTAGCACCACTTCCCTTTCACACAAAAAAAAACACAAAATGGAGATGACAAGAATGACAAGCTGAGGAAAAACTAGTTGTTTGAAGAGATATATGACAAAAGGTCTTATGAAAGGAGCTGATTGTGCGTGTGGGACAAATCCGTTTATCTGAAACGGTCCTCATGCCTATGAAAATGTCTCGCCTCATCAAACCAAAGATCTTATTTTTTGTGCAATCAAAGCAAGACTTTCTTATGCATCATAAAAGTTCAAAGCCCTGCTGAAGGAAAATATCCTTTTGATTCAACCAGGTCAGACCCTGTTGCTGTATTTTCTGTGTCTTTTAAATCTTGTGTCTTCATGAGACTCTGCAGGGCTCCATGTCGATGTACTAATCAGTCATCTTAACTCTGGCATGAAATAACAAAAAATTCAGTTTGACAATCATCAACATCTTCTAGTAACACATATACAAAACTAAACAAAACATTATTTGTTCTTTGAAAGTGTGCCGACATACATAGAATGTTACAACTGTGTATTTATGCGCAAAATTCAAAATAAATTATGCACCAAATACCAGAAGAAAACAGGAATGTATAAGCTACAACATTTTTTCAAGCCAACAAAAGGGCTTTCTTCCACAGAGAGTAAACTGACTCACTTAAATGTTTTATTATCTTATGCAACTAAATATTACATAATTACAAGTAAAAAAAAGAAGTCAATAGGAAACTCTAATCTATCCATATCATTTCAAAGGCATGTTGGACAAAGACGGTTTTCTTCTTCCAGACTGACATAATTGGCCAGTTTCAACGATAAAGTACCAGCTCTCTACCGGGTACATTACGAGCTTTGATTCTCAGAAAAGTTATACACAAGACAAGATAATTCTCTGTCCAAAATCATGCTCCAAGTTAAGAATCAGAGTTTGAACATTGCTCTGGGGGACGTAAACAGAAGGTGTAATGTTGCCATGCAGTGAGTTACGCTGTATAGCCACGTTTATTTATGATATTTAAATTTATCTGATTTTCTTTTACATTTTTGGCAAATCTGCACCAATAAAGTCTGCACAAATAGCTACACTGCAAAAATAGCCCTTCTAGAAACAAGTCAAATATTCTTACATATAATTACATTTTCTTGTATTGAGCAAAAAAAATGCCAATGGGGTAAGACAATTTTGTTTGGCTGGAATTCTTCAAATCTAGCCACTGAAACACTGTAATGAGCTTTAATGGGAAAAATGCCAAGTTGTGCTTATTACAACGAATGAAAACTCAGTTACTTAGTATTTTGGTCACTTTATTGAGCTGAATTTAGGAATGTGTACCTTAAAGATTAATAATGAGCAGTATGACAAAGTCACTTATTATTATTATGCTGTTTGAAGAAATTGTCTTAAATGAAGGCACCAGAAGCATTCTTATTTTTAGCATTTTTTATTAAAATAGTGAAAAATTCATTTCCAACACTGGGACTTCAACTGAGAAGTTATTCAAGTGATCTTACTCTTAAAATAATGAAATAATCTTGTTGCTTTGCTGGGATATTATGCAAACCATTTTTGTAACTTGTTAAATTGAGCTCAATACTTTCATTCTGAGAAAAAAAATTCAAAAGGGGAAAATTCTCAGGCAAGTTCTAGAGTTACAATGAGTGCCCTTTTGTGCGTGTTTCTGAGCAGATTTATGGACATTTGCTTGTCAGAGATGATGATATCGCTAGAAAGGGTGAGTCACACTGATGTGTACCATGTCTGTGATCACAATAATCAGTGTAACTGTTGATATAGCTGTCATAAAACACTGCAGATGCTGTGAACAAACATTTCTTTGTCTGCACATTCGATTGTTAAATTCAAAATACATGGCAGAAATGTGAAACTGACCTAAATAATCTAATGACAAGTCCGGGAGAAAGTAAGCAGTTGTACATTTTCAACAATTAACAAAACAGGTATCTGCAACAACAGCAACTAAAATGCTTTTCGGATGAGTGACTGAGAGCTGCGGTGAGGCCAAAGGTTAAAGGTCGGGGCCCAGGTATCGATTGATCACATGGGCCCAATCAGCTGCATGTAAATAGCTGAAAATTAGAGCATTCTTTAGTCTCTCTGTGCAGCTACTTGTTTCATGCAATATAAGTGCTATAATAATATGTGTTGTTTTTTTTTAACTGAGAAAACTCTGTAGCAGGAAATTTGTGACGTATAAGCCGAACAAAACGTGTGTTGTATGAAGGCGGTC